GAGTTAGACTCGGAGGATTAACGTGGAGTGGTGCTTATGAGTAACAGTTCAAGACCTTGGGGATAAATGGCAAGGTCAAACACCAAGCGTTGTAGAGGGAGGTCGGTATCTTGGAAATAAATGTCAATAGCCGTTACGCCTCGAAAAGTTAGACTTGGAGTGACTGGGGTTATGCTGAACGCACGCACTAAGCGTGGTAACAATTCTATAGATGCAAGCGCACACCTGTCAGAGTAATATAAAATGGATGGAGTATCCAAGTATCGATCCTCAAGGACTTCTAAATAATTTCCAAACTCTAAAGTTTTAATGAATAGTGAACGTTGAAATTAGTGATTGTTGTAAAATGGGAAGTGGTTACAAATAATGGTTTTGGATTTGGGATTTGGTCTTATAATGGTAAAACCTAGCCCGAATTACTTCAAGTTAGCCAACAAAGAATCAAGGATACGCTAAGGACGACATGCATTTTACTTTAGGAACCAACAACTACGCTTTTCACTTGACTTATGTCTAACCAAGTTCAAAGTCCTAAGACATTCCCTAATATGTCTATTATGAGAGATATCTTTTACGTGTTAATATATGAGTGAGAGAAAACAAGATACACGTAAAAGAGAGATGGGTAGGAGAGAACCATAAATTCAAATAAAAATAATTTGGATATTATTAACAAAAATCAAGGTTAATATCGTGTACGAAATGTTTATTCTACATCTCTACTTTTCTATATAGTAGTTAACAAAATACTAACAACAAATTTTCTAGTTTTTTTCCAAAGGATATCAACTTTTCATTCTAAACTAGAAGACAATTCAAATTAAACTTAAATCATTATTATGAACAAACATAAATAAAAATAAATATCAATATATTAACCAAACACAACATTGAGTAAAATTTGAAGAGAAATTGACTAGCTCTAAATGGTGTTGTTTGTTTTACACGTAGATATGTTTTGAGTGGAAATGTACATTAGTGAAGCTCAAAGGAAAAAAAAAAAGAGTGTGAGAGAGCAAAAATAACTTCTCCAACTTTGAATCATTGGAGTAAGTAAACTGAAGAAGAACAATCAAAACTTTGAATGATCGAAGTAAATTTCTTCTCGATCATCCTATACTAAATACTTGTCAATGGGAAACATAGGTTCCAAGTGATTCTCTTGGTTTTCATCAATCTCTTTTGTGTGTTGTTGCACAACCAAGATTAAGGCATTCCCATGAAATTTGAAGAGGCCAACACCTCCCCAATTGCCCCAAGTTGTGTATCTTCATTCCAAAGTATCAACCCTTAAACAAGAGGCGAACTCAGGCAATGGCGTCTTCCTACCATTACAAGGTCGAAATTGTTCCCCATCGAACGGAGTATAGAGACCGTTCCAGTGCCATCTGTAACCACCTTTTCTTTGTAAATTACTCTTTACCATGGTTTGTCGAAACTTGCTCACTGCCTCATCGTCAAGTCTCATCTCTTCTAAGTTATAGCACGGGAAATTTTCATTCTCCACTAGACGAATCATTGTCAAGTTGATATTGGGGTGCCTAGCCATTCTTGCCCCAATGAATATTGCCTCTCGGTCGTCTGGTCCACCTGTGAAGACCACGGTTATGTGAAAAGAATGCAAGTTCGTTGTGATAGAGCTTGAGACTTTCAAGAGTCCGCGGTCAACAACAAGGGCGATAGAGCAGGGTGCCTTGTCAAGGATGTGATTGTTAACTGTTCTCATTTTACTTTTGCACAATGACAACATACCATTGGAATGAAATCTCTTGTGGAAAGGAACAAGAACCAAAGAAGTCTCTTTGTCGAATGCGAGCGTACAAACATCATGGTGCATAGTCGCAAGACGTGGTATAATGATGAAAGGATAAATTTCAACTATGTCACAGATGCTCTGTCCAAAGTATTTGAAGGCATTAACGATATGCTCAGAAGGGCAAGACCTTGAAGTACCTACGTTCTTAAGTTTGTGGGCAATGAATTGTGGGTTAGCACGGCCAAGAAGCTCAACAAGATGAAGCATGTGAACAACAAGATGGCTTTGTCTCGTTGGATTCAAGACCTCGAGAAGTTTAATGGCATTAGGAACATCGTCTTGGTCATGAATGCAAACTAATAAACGGAGATCAGAATTTGATCTCGAGTGCATCATCGTTCGTTTGTTGTAAACTACATATGTATTTGAATGATCATTGAGATATCTCAGTATGGGAGTGATAACTGCAACCAAAATCACCATGCATATGCACATAACTGAAAATGTTTCGTTATCAAATATCTGCACAGAATTAGAGAAAAAAAATTCAGTGAGTATATTGTAAGAAATAGTGAGTATATTGTAAGAAATGATCGAATGCAATTAGATGATAATGATGATCAACAACGAAGGCTTAGGCTTGTTCCTACCTTTTCTTTCTTCCTCGAATAAAACAAACCAAGCTCCATAGCTCCTTGACTATTCACGATGAGGCCGAGCAATACGGCRTCTCTCACKCGTAGTTTGAAGKAGAGTGAAATCATAAAGGTGCCTAAAAACTTTCCCAAYGYAACAACAACAATAGTGCAGGACAGGAGTAAGAACTTTTTGAGTTTAATGGTAAAGATATTGATAAACCAGCCTATTTTGACAAAGAAGATTGGCATGAAAACCCACGAGTTGATGAAATTAAGCCTCTCTACCAATGTTGATCCAATGGGAGGCCCCGAAGGGATTGCAATCCCAAGTACAAGGGAACCAAAATGTAGATGCAAACCAGTGGCCTGGCAAAAGAGGCTAGTCACCAGTACCCCTAAAAGCAAGGTAATCACATAACCCTCCGTCAACGGCTGTCCGGTCGGATTCTGCTTCATCATCCCAACAATGGCAGGCCGAAACACATAAATGATGATGGATATGAGAATGATGGAAGACAAAATTATTGAGAACATCTCATATCTTTTAACATTTGGTGCATTCAAGAGATGTCCTAGAAACATAATGCAATAGCTGTAGAACGCAGAAGCCATGGAAGATGACAGAGCAATTCTGCCCAACTCAGAGTTCATTCTATGAAGTTCAGAAAGAAAGCAAGCAATGGTGGGAAAGTCGATGAAGGACTCTATTGTAGCAACAGTGGAAATGGGTTTTGGGATTTGAGAGTTTATAGTGCAAATGGTGTTAAGAAGCAAAGGTAAAGCCATAGTACATGAGCCAATAACAAGTGCCCTCTTGTCAATCTTCTTTACTATGGAAGGATCTATTTGCACCCAATGAGAAAGAAGTAAAAAATATATCCCATTGAAGCTACTATGTCAAGGAATATGAATCCCCTCATGGGGAAAAGGGTTTCTCTGACTCCCTCGAACTGGCCCAGAACCGAAGAACCTAGAACTAAGCCTCCCTGAAAAAAGCAAATTAAATAAGAAAAGATAACAAGATAATTGCAAGTAATCAAGAGAAGATAGAGAGTTACCAAGATTTGAGAGACGATGAGGGGTTGGCCGAGGGGTTTGAGGAGCTTATAAAACAACAGAATGGCCCCTCCAGAAATAACCAACTGAATTAGAAAAGAAGGTAAAGAGTACTCAAAAGGGTTGGATTCGGTGAAAACCCCATGGGAGTGAATTCGGTCACCATATATGCAGTTGTTGGTCAAGTTCTCGGGTGAATGTCTAAATTAACCGCCGATGTAGGCAACAATTTCGTCTGGTTCCATTACAACAAAACTTAGTTTTCCAAGCTGAAAAGATCCTTCGGACATAGAAGAAATCAAAAGGAAAGATTGGGAATAGAATGAAAATGGAAATTGGGGATTCTTTTCTTTTAAACCTTTTTGTAAAATGACTAAATTGAGTGATTATGCTTAACTTGGAAATCAGTTTAAATTTGGAAGAAACTCAGCTTCTATTGTATTGTGATTTGGCCTACAACCAAACGCCCCAAATTTTAATATTAGATGCTCCAGCTTTATTTTAAAATGTTGTGTTAAGAATTATTTGTTAATAATTTATGTAGTATTTATTTTTTAAGAAAATTTTAGCATTTGACAACGAAAATACAACCAACAATAATTGGATAGAAATTTTAGAGCATTATTTTGACTTAATTAATATTATTATATTGTAATATTTTGAGTGGGAGACATTGAAAAAACGTGGTATTTTTAGTTTTTATATTTTTTTAGTAGAACATGTGGGATAAGGGATCGAACTAACAACCTCCTGATTTGAAATATATGTCGAATTATGCTCACTTTGGCTTTTAGTTTTTATTTTAGTATATAGAAGATATGTTTCAAAATTTTATATTATCTTATTGGTTGATTAGATAATGTCAATGAGAAAATAAAATTGAAGTTGTTGGACTAAATAAAATTGAAAAACATGAATTTTTTTTCTTTAAAGCAATATTTTTAAGGAAATAAGAAGAAATAAATACAAAATTACATTTCTATTTCATATCTAGAAAATGAAAATCTTTTTTCTATTTATTGATAAATCATACTTAGTTTTTTTTTAAAAAAAAAAAGTAAGAACTAAAACTAAAGAAAAAAAATAGATCTCAACATTTTGGTGAGAAATGTTGGAATAAAATGCATTTTTATGAGTAGATGAAGAAAAAGTTACAAATATTTTTAAATTAGAAGATTTTTGAAATTCTATTATTAATTATTATTAGTAAAAATCATTAAAATTATTAGAGAACAAAAATTTTCATATTCCAATTTATAAGTTACTCTATCGGAGGAGGAATATGGAGAAATTTATTGAATTATAACCTACCACTAACCCAATGTATTAATACATAAACTAAATAAATGTTGTATTAGTAGAAAATAAAATAATAAAATAAATCTAAATAAATGAGAACTAACATGGATGAAAAGTGAATTGAAGGGATGTGATAGGAGAGAGAAACATATACTCATGGAGGAGGATACTTTGGGTATTATTAAAATAGTCAAAGTCAATATCGTCCATAAAATATTTCTTCTAGGTCAGTACTTTTATATATATATAATATACATACATACTAGTAACTTAACACGTTCGTTGCACGTTGTAACTTAATTCAAATATAAGTGAATATATATTTTAGACTACTTTCTTGAAGCACATCCTTGTTTCTTATTATTGTTTAAGATCAAACTAATAATTATTTATTAAAATACAATATCATATAATTGCTAGATAACAACACTTTCCAATAAAAAAATATAAAAAAAAGACACTTTGGGAAGATAAGAATGAAATTTAATATTTGATGGGAACGACTGATAGAACCACAGTTTAGGCGAATTGTAATAGTAGTTCATAATTGTGAAAGTCTTGATGGCAACATTTGAGCTGAATGTAAAAATTGGACGTTCTCAGTAATCTCCTGTCACGTTCAACTATCGTGAACCTGCAAGAAAAGGAGTTAGCACTCCGAAGATTTTGTCAGTAATAGCCAGAGAAAGTGATTTTTTCTCCCCCACTACCCTTTTTCTCCTATGTTCTTATAGAGGCAGTCCTCACTAACAATCTTCCCTTGGAATCCTTGCAACTGCCGTATCCCGAATTTCTCTCCCTAGATATCGGGAGTGAGGCATGCGATGGTTGACTCCCCGTCTATTTCGAACTAGTTTACCTTGTCGAGCTCACGCCCGCGCTTGCTTCTACTCAGCCGAACTTGTTCTTGCCATGGCCCAAGCTGGGCGTAAAGCTCCTCAATCCGGATCTCGCAGATTGCACCGCCCTTAAGCCATGTGGCTTTCGTGCGAAAATGAAAATCCATCATCCAACATTAGGAATGAGAGAGAAAAATTAGAAAATTTCCTTGGTTATTGGTGATAATATTTTGAGTGTAAGAACGATTTAACACTAAAAAATCTAGAAAGTCTAGTGAGAAAGAAGAGAAAAAAATAAAAATAAAAAGCTAAAATCTTTAAAAGAAATTAGTGAAAAAAAAGTCATTTTAGAGTCGTAGAAAATGATAGAGTTACAAAACTGTTGAATTTCTAAAACTTTTGGTATTCAAAACTTAAATATTATAGGGGTTATTATTAAATTATTTTAGATTAAGAATAAGCTTTTCATATTACATTTTAGCAATTAAGTTTTTCTTTTTTCTTTTAAATTCGAACTTTCATATTTTTGTCTTTCAATTTATGAATGCTATCTAATTATTCATTTCAATATATTTTTATACTTTATTATTTTTTTTAACATTATTTAACCATTAAAACACTATAACTTTTGAAATTCCATTATTAATTATATAAGTAAATATAAAATCATTAATTTTATAATTAATTTTTAGGAATAAATTGAAAACAATTTTATTCAAAATTTTCAAATTCTTTACCTTATTTTCCTGATTCATTTTAATTTAGATGAATGTATTAAAAAGATAAAATAAAAAATAAAAATAAAAATAAAAACCCTTAAATAAAGGAGAGAAGAACCGTGGGCTAGAAAACTTTTTTTTAATAAAATAATAATAATTTAATAACTTCATATATAGATTAATAAATTAAAATAGAATTTCAAAAGGTAAAAAGAAAAAAAAAACTGAAAAATGATATTAAATAAAGAGTATATATGATATTAAATAAAAAACTGAAATGGAAATTGAAGGAAAAAAATAAAAAATGAAAACCTCACGCAATGGAATAGGAAGTCAAAAGGAAGAGAAACCTCACGAAATGGAATAGGAATTCAAAAGGAAGGGAAAAAGAAAGGCAAATCAAAACTTATATATAAATGAAGGGCATGGATAATATTAAGTTAAAAAAATGAAGAATAATATTGTCCAAAAACTGTTTCTTCCATATCCGTAGTTTTATATATATTATAAATATAGATATAGATATAGATACAAATATAGACTAGTTGCCTTGCACGTTGTATCTCAATTTTATTTTTGTTGGGTGTGTTGCCCTAAACTCGTAGTTTGTATTTATGTAAAAACAAATGTATATTCAATAAAGTTTTATTCAATAAGTTTATTGTTGAATTCATAACATTGCATTATCAAAAATTCAATAAACTAAACATCCAAGGTTATTATCATGTAACCGGGATAGTATATATACTGGGTATATATTTGATATACTAGATATATATTTGATATACCTCTAATATACGAGGTATATATCTGATATACCCCTGACATACGAGTGGATGATGTCCCGTGAATAAACTAAAGGGTCTATAGTATATGGATAAGGCTGGGTACCTTATCCTGGCAACACTATGGATACGGCCCACTTTGTAAATGTTACAGACGACTCGATCCAGGTCATTCATGTGGAGACATGCGAGTGGGGGTATCCTATATAATGAGTTTGTATAAGACCAGATTGCGAAATAGACAATCTTTAGATGTAACGTCGTTGACTAACAGATTGCTATTTCATAGGATGACAAAACAACTCATTCTCAATCCTGAGTGACTTATGGACTCCTGCCCTTCAGGGCTCGTCCTTTGATCTGTATGGGTAAGACTGGCCTGAGTTGCCGACTCAATATTCCTACCATTTTGGGGACGAGATCGAGTGGGGAGCTGGGAACATAACTTCACAAGATGAAATTCACTCATCCCCGACTTTAGGGGAGTAGATGAGTGTTCTCTTAAATGCTGACTCCGGGACTTGAACAAGGGGCCCCACCCTCTCATTGGCCCGGGAGGGACTTCCGGTTATTGGTCGGACCATAACCGGGTTGTTCATTAGAGGAGCAGTGATATTTAAGGAGTAAGATGTAACATAGGGGTAAAACAGTAATTTGATCCAACTTGAGTTACGAGCAATCGTGAAGGATTGACTTGTCATTAATGGTCGTATATCCATGGACACGAAAATGAAAACATTCTGCAGTGAGAAGAGTGCAACTGCGGGTCTTTAGTGGAGTGACCCGTAGTTAACGAATGTTGATTACCTCGATCAATGAGTTTGACCAATTAATCTCGCATCGTTCAAACTTCTGATCTGTAGGTCCATTAGGTCCCCTTGCTAGCTCATAACGAGTAAAACGAGGATCAAGTTTTTGGAACAATTTAAACTGTTCAAATTACTGAAGGGATTATATGTATATTGATACATTATAATATATAGTCAATTATAAATTAAAACTGTATATTGTAAGAGAAATTATTTGAATGAAATTCAAATAAAATTAATATGAATAAAATTCATATTAAAAATATAGGTTAAAAATAA